CACTAAGTCAAACATTTCTTATGAATATGCTCATATCTCCAAAATCATTTGTCGGATCAACTTCAAAACTTCTGAGAATATTTTCAAATATATGCACAATCGACATATCTGCAGCTAGAAAAAACTATTTCTGTTTAAATTTATCGCTTTCAGGATCAGTTACATCGCCGTAACAAATTATGTTTGCTTTCTAACAGTTGCAATTGGGACCACTGTGCGGCGGGTGTCTTCTTCCGCTAACTGTCTAAAYCGTGTAAAATGACAAGTCGACATTTTTGGCACAACAAAAAGTCAATTTGTTTTATCTATTGTCAAACAAGTCAACTAACAACATGTAACAAGCGAAGCACATACAAACATATCTCCTTTCATATCCAAAAATACTTGTACTTGCCGCCGACCAAGCGCTGAGTTGTTGTTGTCATTCAGACTGGCTTACAATTTCTTGCCAACGCTTTTTCTATATTATTTATCCAGCATATGACAAAAATCAATAAACAAAAAGAAGTTTAGTTGTAGTCAAGCAAGAAGCGAAGCATGCTTTGCGCACCAAAATAGTAATAATGTATATGGAGACCAGGAGTGGGAGTTTTCAATTCAAATTTTCATAATTCACATGTATAGATATGTGCAAATACAAGAAATATTCACATATATATATATATATATTTTTATATAATCCTATTATTCTTATATATTGTAAGCATTGCGCATGTGAATTTGGTCGAGTTCGCTGCTTAAGTCTTTTGTGGTGCATTGTTTGCTCGCAGCTTGCAGCAGTCAAGCAGCAAAACATTTCATAAGCAGCACCAACAACGTTAAACCGTTACATACTTGACAAATACAGCATTTATTTCTACTTTTTTGCATTTTGCTTTGTGTTCTATGTGCTACTTCACAGTTTTAGTCATATAGGATGCGCTGGCTAGACTCCCGAAATGCGATTTTGAGGTTTTTACGCCTTCTGACCCTTTATGTGCCTTCCTTGCCGATTCGGTCGCATCTGTTTTGATTTATATACCCGCTAGTTGGTTATAATTGACAACGGTTGCACTCTTCTATTCTTCTGCCACACAGGAGCTTCGTCTCTTCGCAGCTGAGTAATGCTTGAGTCTGCGAAAAGTTCTGCATTGTTTTCAATCCATTTCAGGCTGCGTCGATAATTTTTCCATTTTCATGTTTACAATTGTTTTAGCAGTTGGTATGAGTACTGTCAGCTTTATGCATTCATAYTGTTCTCAGAGTGATTTATTGGCTCAGCTTTTTGCTTGTAATTTTGTGGTATTTAGTGCGGGTGATCAATTTTACAATGGTTGTGGAACTTGAGTAATTTACTTTTTTTTTGCATTCATTTACCTGTATAAGTTATTTTATTATATAATACTATATTTAGTATTTATAAAATTGTTTCCCTAAAAATATCAAGTAAGTAATATTAGGTTGTCAAAAAAGTCTTGCGGTATTTTCGCTAGTTGGCGCTGAGAGCGCGCAGTTCCAGTTTTATTCGTCGCTWCGGGTCGTTATACCTTTTTGGAAAGCTCATTTCACGCGCTAATACGYGTTTGCTTGATTGTCGTTTCTTTTAAGTCGTTCGTGAGTTATAGTGTCCCGAACATGGAGCAAAACAAAGAGAAAATACGGCATATTTTACAGTACTACTACGATAAAAGCAAGAAAGCATCACAAGTCGCCAATAAAATCTGTGCCGTTTATGGACCGATACAGTTTCCATTTCCACCGCACAACAATGGTTTCAACGTTTTCGTTCTGGTGTGGAGGTGGTCGAAGATGCGCCACGCTTCGGAAGGCCTATCGTCGAAAATTGCGATAAAATCGCTGAATTGGTCAAAGGTGACCGACATAGTAGCTCAAGAGCTGGGCATGAGTAATCCAAAAAAATACCGAAAGAAATACCGCAAGACTTTTTTGACAACCTATTATTTAAAAGTTTGTATATCTTCAATGGAAACATTTCGAAAAAATATTTGACTAAGGTTTTTAAAATCGTTTCCTTACGCTTAACATAATAATTAATAATGAMAATGATGAAAGTATTCAAGATATCCATTCCTCGTATTGAAGTAGAGAGAGAAAAAAATATGTCGCTCACCTTCAAWTAAAATTACATGCTGACAAACAATATTCGTAGTAGAAAAAGGAAACATTTACAAACATAGAACTACCAAATGCTTAGCATTATTTATTAGGCCTTCCGCTGTAATTTTGATTTTTTAACCAAAATTATTTTGTTGACTGCGAAATTTATAGCGCCAATGGCACCCATGTAGAAAAAGGTAGACAAACTGCGTCCATGAATTCAGCAGACTGACTAACTCAAAATAAGGAAGGGGATGACATTGTAATCTGTATGTAGACGGCCATCGCCGGAAGTAGGATATTGTACTGATATTGATCTTATTTTATATGATTTTAAAGATTAAAATCCAAAATTTTATGACTATTTCAGACATTTTTTTTATGAAAAAATGGTTCAAAATTCAGTCCAGTTCGGACGATAGCCACATGTGTGATGAATCTACCATTAAATTTTCAAAGCAAATATTACTAATACTACTACTAAATAATACTATTTTAGAGAAAAACATGTTGGATTTTTGTAGGTCGCGCGCTGTAAAAACCTTAATTTCTCCCTTAACTTTCCATCTACATTGAATTTCGGAACACTACTTTACCAGCACCTCCTATGAAAGCGTTACATTCAATTTATGCAAAGCAAAATATATTCTTTCAATCCTCACGCGGGTTGATTCCCCTAGTTGTTATTTCATGATCTATAGAAAAATATATAATGCGATCTACCACTTGCGGCAATGCCACATTCTATATMGAAACCTGTCTAAGTGGGTTAAGGCCGATCGACTTCGCAGGAGCTCGAAATATGGTTGGCTGTAGTACTAGATTTCAGCACACGAAAATTTATCCAGCTACTGTCTCCGGATCGAAAAGTTCGTAACCAGRTTGATCATGTTGTGATAGAGGGATAGATAATTTCGTCTATCTTGAAAGCAGCATCAACACCAACAACAATATCAGCCCTGAAATCTAACGCAGAAAACTCTTGTTCATGTGCTACTTTGGACTAAGTAGTAAATTGCGGCTTCTCTTGTCAAAAAAATTCTACAAGTCACTCATCAACCCGTCCTGCTATGTGGAACTAAGGCATCATCTGATGAGTAGGCCTTAGGAGTGTTCGAGAGAGAAGTTTTTCGAAACATTTATGGTCCTTTACACATTGGAAACGGAGAGTACCCCAGTCGATGGAACGATGAGGTGTACGGGATAGGCGGCGTCATTAACATAGTTCAGCATATCAAGAGACAGGTACTGAAATCAGATTAAAGCTATCATTCAATTCATCAACGATTCTGACAGCTTTCTTCGTAAAAAAGTTTTTAATAAAAAGTTTATTATTGTTTTATATATATTTTATATATATACTACATATATTTCTGTAATTTCTCCGGTACTCTTCATGGACGCTCTGAATACTTCATATCACTTTTAGACATGCCAGAAATGTGTAGATATTTTTAAAAATTATTTATATACTAGCTCGCAAAAAATCTCTGCAACACGCCTGTGAATTCAATTCATCGCAATACTAACTTTAAATACAAACAATATTTTCTGGAACATAAATACTAATACCCTCTACCTTGCGGTACTAATAAACACAAATCAAGCTCCAGTTAAAAGCTTCATAAAAACAACTGCAACAATAAATGCGAGCATTCAAAGAAGTTAGCAATTCATAACGGCGGCAGCAACACCGTTACGCCGTGGGCTAAAACTACATAGCGCTCCCATCGTCAGCGAACTGCGCGCCCACTCTGAGTCAGCGCCGAGTTGCAGCGCATTCAAGAGGAAGCAACGACAAATGCAACAACAAACAAATAAAACGTTTAGCGGTCTTGTATTTGTTGCAGCGAAGCGAGCGATCAGCATAAACGCTTTGCATTCGCTTCATCATTTGGGGGCTCAACCAATCAGCGCAACGCGAATTCCCCTCAGGCGTTTGTTGTTTTATTGTCAGCTACTGTTTGCTGCCACAATCGTTTACCATCTCTGATGCGCTTATGAATGAAACGTGTTTTCCACGACTCGCACAACATTCACGTTCCGTGCCGGCTATGGGTGGTGGTGGTGGTATTGGTACTCATTGGGTGTGGAGTAGCGACTTCGAACATTGGAGAGAGAGAGAGTGTGCAATGAATGTTGCTAGTTTATTACTTTTTATTGACCGTGGAAGCTGAAGAAACAAAAGCTGAATTATTTAATATGAGCGCCTCTAATTTGGGAAATCGTTTCCGAAGCCTCAAACTTTCAGCGATTTGACATAAATTTTTCAAGCGACGAAATGACTTGGTCATATGAGGAGTAACAGAAATATTTAGAACTTTTATTTTCCTATTTTTATTGCTCTAATGCTCTAACAACTACGAAGAAATTTTAACCGAGTTGCGTGTTCTATTGATACTGACAAAAATTACTTTTATTGTAAGCATTCTACCATAGAAGCTGCGCGCGCGCATTAATCGTTTGCTCCGCCCAAAAAGAAGTCATTAACAAGTCAAAACTAAGAGAATTTCACGGCAAGAGTAAGAGTGAGAGAAACTGTGAGCGCTTATTATACCGCAAGCTTTCAAAACATATAAAAAATGTATTTTTGTTTTCATTACTTTTACTGAAATTATAATAATTTATTTGTTTCAGCATATTCTATGTGCAATCGAATGCATATTAGCAGCAACGCCACTGATCCGATTTGTTTATCAAACATCAGCGACTCTCTTGCCAGCTCACGCTCTTCAGTGCGCGCTCCCTTAAAAGCCAGAGCGACGTTCAGCTCGATGTCGCATGTTGCGTGTTGCAGTCGAACCACCACTAACCGCCAATGCCGGCAATTGGTGTGCTGCCGTTCCAACTGGACAAGATGCTGGTGGCTATATTTTATTACCGTGGGACGGGTGTTATTTGCCTTCGAGCTGTAAACGGAGTCGGTCTGCTTTAGAACGCTGTACGGTTAAACGCGTGGCGGTAGTGGCAACAGTAGCAGTGACTTTGGCGCACAGTGCAACAGACATAGGTACACAAACGAAAACACACGTGAGTTCACACGAACATGCAGGCGATCACAAACGAATGTAAATACATATACATGTATACATATYTACACGYACACATGCGTAGATAAATCGCGTTGATAACAAAGTGTGGCGATTTGCACGTTGCATTTATTATTGCATTCGCCTGCGGCACGACAAGTGCTCAAGTTCCTCGTTCCTCATTTGTTGCAAGTGCTGCTGCAACAAAGCAGAGGAAGAAGATAATAATTGAATATTGAAAATAGTAAAAAGTGCGAACAGTGAACCAGTGCAGTGAAATTGTAATTGTGCGTTGTGACCGCGTATGCGTATGAATTGAAATACAAAACAACAACAACAGCACTAGTAGCAACAAGCACAAATCAATTGGATATTGTGGGCTGTGCGCGGATTTCGGAACGACGGTGTTTGCGGTGTTCGTTGAATGAAAATGTCACAACATTGAGTAAGTGCCGGCTATAGGTGCGCTGATAGGGAAATATGCACAATAACAACAACAAAGCAAACTTTTATTTTTTTTTTTTTGGATTTTGTGCGCCGGTGAGGTGGAGCGCGAGGTAAAGTGCTTGCGGCAAGCAGTTGAATCAGTTGAACGATTACGTGCGCTGATGAGTAGTACAGTCGATGTGTATGCGTTTGTTATGTATGTAAGCAGTGTGCGTGTGTGCGGCTGATTGGCACATGTGTGTGCTGGCGTATTGTGAAATTGGCGACTAGCGCGCTACTTTTCGGGTAGAAAACATTTGTAGGTACTTTTCGATTTTTGTATAAAGAACGGTATTGAAATGTTACCAGGTAAAAACAAAAACTCAAATTTAATGGATAGTAAACTGATAAACGACTTCGGTACACAAATATGYACCATATTTGACCAAGAAAAATAGCATATTTGTATGTATTTTTCTATAAAAAAATTCCCAACTACGTAAAAACTTGTCACATGAGCTGAAAATATATTTGAAGCCAAATAAAATACACATTTAATAAATCATAACAATAATTTCCTTGCAAGTTTGCTATGCAAAGATCTTTATAAAGCTTATCTTTGTACAGCAAAAGTGTATAATTGAAAGCGGAAGCGTTGTATWTTTAAAAAGAAAAAAAGCGCGACAAAATTTGTGTGATAAATTATTTAAGAAAATTAGAACAGCACATTGATATACTTATGCTTCTCAATTAGTTGCTGTGCCAATGCAAATGAAAGTGCCAGCATACATACATACATACATACATACTATACAATGCCATAATTACACGCCATGCACAAGTTCGAGCATAATAACATATGAGTTGATGTGTGCTTGTATGTGCTTTTGTGCAGCTAAACGCCTGATAAGCCTCGATAAAAGGCACACAATAGAGAAATTAAAAAGTAAACTACATTGTGCTGCATAACTTGAAGCGAAAGCTGTGCATAGCAAGAATACAATATATAAATGTTGAGAAGACTTTGAGTAACAAAATTTTAGGAAAAATTTAATTTTTTCGATTCATTTCAAAAATGAACTCTTTTATAGACAGTARAGGCCAAGCTGATATTTTTCTGGCTTTTTTTAAGGCTACCGCTAAAGAAAATGACTCAAATTATATCTCGTCAGCTGAAATGCAAAAAAACGTAACATCAGTTTTCATAAGTTTTCAAGCGAAGTAAAATCGACATTATTGAAACCACTCATATTGCAATGAAACACTTGAAAAATATATTTCTATTAAATACCAGTTTGATRTATAAGTTGATATGGGCTCAAAAGGCTTCGGTGATACAAGATCAGACTACAGGAGACTCTCTGAAATTCTTTAGTGGTCCATCTTAGATATCTCTAACCTTAACGTTAACTATCTTTTTTTAWTAATATCCTAAACTAGCCTGGTATACTAACAATTGGGCTAAGGTTACCCCATCAGCATTCACTTTAAGTGGAMTTTCTCACTATATCTTGAAATATATTGAGACTAGATTTTCAACAAGTGGTACCTTAATATATCTTTGGCGGTTTGGTTAATTATTTTTCGAAATAATCTCTGTTCAAAATAGCATTTTATAATCGAAGTCGGAATAAAATTGGTATCACTTCATGTTATACGATCTAAATTTTTTTTTAATGTTAAAAACTTGGTAATTTCCAGACTTATAAGCCTCTAGAGCGAGTTCCTTCCAAAAGAAAGCTTTTGTCTTTTTTAATTCCAACAAAGTTCAAAAAAATCTAGCAGGCAATGAAACTTTTGAGCAATGAATATAACCTAGAATTTAGTTGTCTTTTATTAATTTTTTTATTTTTTTTTTATAGTTTTAGTTTAGTTTTAGTTTAGTTGTCTTAAATTAGTACTTTATTTTGAATGAAGATATAATACACTTATGATCAACGATTTTTCCTGTCCTCGAAATACTTTTCATAAGCACTTTTTGGAATAGCCTGCAGCTCCTTCAGCGAATTTTGTTTTATATCTTCGACCGACTGAAACGGAGCGACAATTTCAGTTTGGGGAACAAGAAAAAATCACAAGGAGCCATGGTTGATCGATAGTATTCATTGCTCTAAATTCGGTTACAATCGTACCTCAGGATATCGGGACGTTCATATCCTAAATACACATTTTACATAMATTTTTTTGAAATATTATTTATTCATGCAATTTATATACAACTCCTGGGTGCTTTTTTGGCACAATGTATAGCTATAGTTTGAGAARAAATCTGTGCTTAAGCTTCAAAAACTACCAACCACCAAGAACATCTGCTGTATGTAGTATTTCTAATGGAAGTTTTCCGTAAGCGCCTAAATCTTTAAAAATTCAATGTCTAATAAAATTCTCAGACAGGCAGGAATTTTGATTAGGCCAGGGCTTACTGTGCGATTTGCTCCTTCATTCATTCATTAACAATTGCGCTAAATTTATCCTGCTGCAGCAGCATGCCGGACGTGACCTTAAAAATTCTCTCACATCGCTTCACATAAGCGAGCATTTGTAAGAAATAATCAACCATGAAAAATTAAAAACTCGTAAAAAGTGCAATAAAAGTCGAAGGAATTTAATTGAAATGCCTACTGAAAAACTCCCACACTTGGGAACCTTGTGACAGCAACAAAAATACAAAAACACCAACAATAACAGCGATAGCCGCAAAATGATGCGCTGCAGAATTAGTACACAGCGCGGATGATAATCATATTTGTATTAACATGCGCGCAAAAGCATTCACATATATGCACGCACATATGTATGTATGAGGTGACATATGTACACATGTGTGCATGTTAGTGTGCGCATTTGTTAGTACAACAACGAATGACATGCATTTATGTGTTCTCGGCGGACACTGGAGATCAATTCCCGCGGGCAATCCGCGACTGGTGCGCCAACTCGCCTGCGAACAACAACAACGACAGCAAGTGCGATGCTTTATGTTGCAAATGCAGCAACAACAAYAGCAAAATGGATCATGAAATTGTAGGGAATATGGCGCGAGCAACGTAATTTCCGGTCACTGCAACTGCGTGGCAGACGTCGCTGCCGGCAGCGCCTCAACGCAGCTACTACGTACATACATATGTATCAGTGTGCAAAACGCATAAAAAGGAAGCGCTAAAATAGTAGTAGATGCAAAAAAAAAAAAAACATATGTCATTTTCTCACAATCTCCCAGCTAGGCGCGCAAGCCAAGTGATAAGTCAAAGAATTTGCAAAGTTAATTAATTAACACGACGCATCTTCGCTGCGCAAGTCGGTGTGCATGTTGCGCAGCAATTAACACTTCGCCTAATGAGGGCGACTGGGCGGGCGTCGATGCGTAAAATATTTACATAAAATGCTCGTTGAGCKGGGAGCGTGAGGCAGACGCGCGTCTCCCTGTGGGCGGCTGGTGTTGATTGGCATTAAAGGAAAATCGATACCGGCTCAATGCACATCGCGGCGTCGCACTGGCATTATGCAAATTGATACGCGTTGCACTTAAGCACTTGTGGCAGCAACCACAGTTCACGCATTAGACGTTGCCTAGGCCGACAATACCGGATTTACTGCCGCCACGGACGCGCCATTTGCGGTGGCTGCTGTTGTTGCGGCGCGCAGCCTGCCGCATGTTGTCGTTTGCGSTTGCATTATTTATTGGCAGTGACTCCCAATCAACGCGTATCGCTTTGTGTGCGTGTGTATGTGTTGGCGTTTAAGTGTGCGCAAGCGCTTTGCGGTTGATGTTCTCAGCCAGGCTGGTTCAAGCCGCGGCGTGGCATCGTTCGCAACGTAATCACTCATTCGCTCATTCATTCATTCCTACACGTTGGCGCATGTTTGTTTGTGTGTGTGTGTGGCATCGAGGCTGTTGAGCTCCGCTGTTCAACTATTGAAAGCACTTGTTGTAGCGCTGCTCATATCACATTTGTGCGGCTGTGTCTTCTTCGTTGTGACGTATTTGCGGTTATTGTTGACTTTGCTGCTGTTGTTGTTGTTGTCAGTTTCATTGTAAATTTAATGAGCTTTAATTGAATTGCATTTGCATTATGCGGTTGCCTTGCATTCGCTCTGCAGTGGCCTGGCTAGCATGRTTCTAGYGKTCGATKKTTGTTGCTTGCAGGCTGTCGCTTTTCGGGTCGTGCAAGAAGGATGAAGTGTCGGTACGGAAACGTCACAGTGGCTGTGGTATTGCACTTTAGTTCTTTGTGGTTTGGAGGTACATACATATGCACAGATAAGTGACAAGTTGTAGCTCCGGTGGYTTAGTTTTTGTGGTTGAAGAGCTTTAAAAACGTTCGCATAAAAACTTTCCTATATGGTGCTCTCAGAGAGGTGCGTGGTAAAAAAATGTGTATTTTTYGTAGAAGTTGAATGGCGAAGTATTTTTCTCTGAAGTTCATGTAGTATAGCAYGCGTAAGTAATGCAATCGGTATGTTTTAGGAAGAGTTTTCGTAGTGATTGTGTTAATAGATTTTATTAGAAGGTTTCTTATATAAAAAAGGCGATCAAAGTAAAGTACCAAAAGGAATCGTCGCATAGCCTGTGAAATATATATGTATATATATAAATGATCAACATGACGAGTTTAGTCGTGCGCCATAACAAGAGATTTCGCAACCACTTTTTTCTCACCACGAATCTGTTCATATGACGGTACTGCCGATATCGGACCACTATAGCACAAAACTGACCCATCAAAATCGGGATAAAGTTTATTTTATACTATTTTATGTTATAAGGAATGCAACTGTGAAGTCTATATAACTTCRGTGTGCACGGACTTAGTGTTTTTTCTTGTTTTTGTATTTTTTTACAGCCCTCATTCGCACTCAGCTTAAGCATAATGAAAATATTTTGAATGTTTAGTGTCATCTCATTCATAATTTGAAAGCTAAACGGCTCAACGGCAAGTTATTGAACACACACATRCAAACACATATCAACATTTTTATTATATAACGCCATCCTCCGCTCAAAAAGATTAACGTTTTTTTGCTAGAATGTGAATTACTTAACATATAATTTTTTTTTTTTGAATGAAAATATACAAGCAAAAGCACACACATACATACGTATGCAAGAATTCCTGCTTAATCGCGCACTTGTGCTTTCCACCGCCGGCTTTCGCGCAATCTTTCCGCTACTTCTGGAATAACGAAAGCACCCAACACTAAAACTGAGATTTATTTCTTTTTAATTCGATAGATGCTAATAAACACATGAATGTACGCGTGTACACAGGCCAACATACATACGCATACACTTGTGGTGTGTGCAAGTGTGTGTGACTGCAGTGGTGTATGTTTGGGAGCTGCTCGCTAAACGATTGGATTTATAATCAGCTGCGACAGCGAGAACATAATACAATCAGCAACACAATTACAACAACAACAAGCAACAATCACGCTATGTGGCAGCTCTGGCAACGACAACAAGCAGTGACAAAAAAATCGAAATAAACGAAAAAAGCAACAACGATAAATGCGAATACAATACATAATACACAGCATACGCATACAAACATAACGGCATACAAATATACGTGCGAGTGTGTGTGTGTATGCGTAAAGGCCTTGTAATTCATAGAACAACTATACTGAGTGGCCAACATGTTTAATAAAAAAATTACATAAATCCGTATCGGTGTGTGTGTGAATGTAAAGTTGAAAGCAAATAATTACAGCAAAAACCGTAACAACAATAATAGTGAAATATTGTGGAACAATGCTGTTGATAAGACCGTTTCAAATAAAGCTATAAAGCAATAACAAATAATAATAGTAAAATAAAAAAGCAAAACAAATTCATTGCAATGACGAAAAAGTGATTCGAAAATAAAATCAAAAACAAAAACGACACTCTCAGTGAAAGTGCAACCAAAGTGCGTAGTTAAGCAAATAACGGTAGCAAGTGCTTTTTTGAGTTTTTAGAGTGGCTGCTGTTTAAACAAATAATTTGCAAGGAGGTTGCCTTCAATTCGAATCGCTGAATACTTCACTGGAAGCACGTTTCAAGTGAAAACTCCAGTGATTCCAGAAATATGTACAGAATGTTCACGAAACACTTCCGCCGGAAAATGCGGCACAGCGACACAGTGACCGCACTCAGCATATACATTCTGCTCGCTGTCATACAAAAGGTCGGTAAAAAAGTGTATTATTATTAAGCTTTTATAAAAATTGCTTGTTAAGTTTTGGCCGGGATACATTCCTAAGTTACGGAGCCGATTTTATTAAATTTRGCACARTGTGTCTAGTTTGATGCGACTTAAAAGATAGGATGGTATATATCAGAATTGGGTTTAAAGTAAAAATAATACACAAACAAAAAAACAAAAACAAAAAAMAAAAAAAAAAAAACGATGGCATTTGCTCAAAATTTATTGTTTTTCCATTGACAAACATTTGTATCAAAAATTTTAAAAACTAATTTACATATTAGCTAGCCCTAATAATGTTTCACAAACAGTGCTAATGAGAGCTATTGGACTTTTGAACACCATAAAAGAAAAATTCAAGCATCTTCATAAGGGTCTTAGAAATCTGGAGTCAGAGTTCATCTCAAGGTAACTCAGTTGAAATTGTTTGTGCTGAATGCAATGTCATATGTGACCTGGGATGGATAATAGAACTCAATCAGCAACCTTAGAATACCACTTTAAACTAATAATAATATTTAACTAATAATAGCACTTTAAGACGTGTGATTTTACTCTGATGTTATCTGCTRATTTTGCAATTTTTTGGTGAGTTCAAATAAACAGAAATTAAGGGTATTTTCTAGATTTCCGCTTAAGGTTTATTTCTTATTCAAAATCATTTTAATTTTCCCATAGATTTCCAAYATTAATGCCGTTTAAAAATTTTTCAAGCTAGGAATTTATTACTTCGACAAAATCGACATATGGTGTGTACCAAAAATAGCTGACGGGTTGAACATACAAAACGTCAAATATGGTAAAGTTGTGGTTAAAGAGTATTGATTCGTCGAATGCAATAGAAATGGTTTAAGAGACCAGTGCTTGCKTTCAGTCATTTARTGAAAATTATGAATAGTTTATTAGTTACTCATTTAGTAAAATAACTTACAGAAAGTCTTTCGATTACAATAGACACAAATCTATGATTGGCTCCACAAATTTCTGAACATTGWCCATAAAATAAACCAGATCGATTTATTTGGAAACTAGTTTGGTTTAATCGACCAGCAATTCCATCAACCTTTACTCCTAAATCGAGTCCTTTTCATAAACTTAAAAGAAATAGGTAAGAACGCTCTAAGTTCGCATGTAATGGAACATTTCATACTTCTACAGTTTTCCAGGARCAAAGCCCGGGGCTTTCTTTCTAGGAACAGAGATACACTGGTATGAGTAAAACCCGCTCTTTCATCTTCATTGAGATAACTGAAATATGGCCGATATATGCGGCTGAATGTGAGCTGGGGACTATGGGAGATTAATAACTGCAACATGATTCAATCCATTTTTGATATACAARCATGATATTGTTGGAAAAGTTCGCTACAGCAATTGTGATCGTCATATTTGGTATATATTGCTTTGATTTTGGTACGAATAGAACAAAAGTAAAAGATGAGATCAGACGGAATTTAAAATTATGATATATGGGAAGGATGCGTTATTTTTTATTAATAAGATACCTACCGCAYTTGTTAGAAATCGGTCTAGTAGAAGATATTGGTTTTCATCGGACGGACGGTGGACGGTGCTCCAACGGCTCTGGTAGATTAATTTTTTTATTTAAAGATTTATCGCACTTTTAGTAGTTTTTAACAAAGTCGTGGGCCAGTGGGCTCTTTTTTGTCGGAACTGCGCATATCGAGCYACTATAGCATAAAGCTACCATACAAACTGAAAAAATAGGCAGAAAGTGTTGTGTGGAAAGCTTTTTTATTTGAGATATATCTTCAAGAAATTTGACAATCTCCGTAGAAATTGTTTAGTTGAAACCACTATAGTATTATAGTTTCGGTACAACCGGGGTTTTAATTTTCCCTCTCTTTTATAGATATTTAGTGCAAGTTTTTTTATAATTAAGCTTAACTTCAGCCTGATTAAATTTCTTTTATGATAGTTTCGTTTCAAATAAAATAAAACTTCACCCATACACGCTTATATCTTAAATTTACTGTCTWTTCGTGTAAAAYATAAACATTTTAGTAGTTAGTCTATGGCTCTCTAATTTATTACCGACATTAAACAAACTAATCAAATTTATGCCTTAAATTGCCTTTTTACAAAGCAATAAATGCGCACTTTGTACTCATGCAACATAATGAACAGTAATTGAACACAATCGAGACTTGGTGAGCGATAAGAGTTTCCTGGGAAAGGGCTTAGACGCAGTCTAACCACTTTTTATTGCTTCTGTTCCGTTCAATCTCAGGACTTGTCGGCTAACCCGCTACTATTTTCCACGAACTACACATTTGACTAAATGTAGTTGTTGTTTTTTGTGTGTTTCTCTGATTTTTATGCTGCAGTTGCAATCAATTAAGCATCAATCCACTGCGCCACGYCGCTGTAGTAAATTGTTTAAAATTCAGAATTAAATACCAGCAATAAATCTACTTGTACATAGGCACAACAAAACGCTCGCACACGCACACATATGTATAAAAAGGCTTACCTGTACTGTGGTTACTGCGCTGGCGCTGATGTGCCACTAAAAATTCTTATCCCACCAAAAATGAGGCAATAAAATTGATGACTCACATTTGTTGTGGATTAAGTGGGGAAGCAGGCAAAGTTATACCACAGTGTATGTGTATGTGTGTACGTGTGCCTAWATGCTATCTCATGCAGCACAGTAAAGTGTTGCAGCCTCCAGGGAGTTCACAGGCTGCCACCAACCGCCACTACTGCCACCGACTGTTGCTRATTCGTCTCATTCTAAGCAAAACTTTTCTCATTAGCGGCCGCAAGACATTTTTCAATCTAAACTGACTACCACACAAGASACACACACACCCATATRTATATACRTTTGTGTGTCTTCTTYTGACGCCAAGCGGATTAAAGCGYTTATTAAGTTACAAAATATTCAATGTTAATAGACGAACGTCTTCAATCTAGAACGAAAGGGTTTCATAAAGGCGATTACGATAATGTCCGAKTATTTATTTATTGCTTGTTTTGGYTTAATTTTTCTTTTCTCCCCACCGGACACATACACGTGAATACSTGCTTGTTGCATAATCAGTTCGGCGTATGCTCGACTCACGGCCTGCGCTACATTGCGGTGTTGCTGGGGGCGGTCCTTAATTAAATTAAATGATTTTACATTTTTATATCTAGTTGATTGCTTATTTGGAGGCCCACCGACATGAATTAAGAACGTTTCRCAGTCTTAATATCTTTTAACGAGGAGCTTTGTTGCGCATGCGCACAACTTACGTACAGTGCTTCCTGATGTYGGCGTTCATTTTGACTGCTTGAGTCGTCAAGAGGCGTGCTGCCTTATTAGTTATGCTAAGGAGAAATATGTATACTTGATTACATAATCAGCAGTYGGCTCACAGGGAAATCAAATGAGTACATGAACTATTTTTGAAAAAAAAAGACATTTAAGGAAAGTTCTGTGGTCTAGCGTTGTTCTGATGGAAGACGAAGCCCTTTCTTTTGAACGGTTCTGGCCGCTTTTTTCGATTGCTTGCTTAAATATCATCGGTTGTTGACAGTAAAATGTAGAATCAATCGTTTGACCAGGCTGGACCCGCTCATAGTGGACAACGGAAATGTGCTACGGATCTTACTGATACAATTTTTCTAAGCGACTATATATCCGATTAGCACATGCGAYTTTTCGTGTTTTTTTCTTGGCTCTCTGTAAATGTACATTTTCTTGTCCTTTCTATACACTCCAGCAGGCCACGAACAGCGATATTTGCATCACCGATAAATTCGGTTGTTGTTTTACTTTTCTCAATTCTTTATTTTGATCATGGTTCAATTTATTTTCGTTTCGTCGATCTTGTTGCTGTTGATCTTAACGCGCAATCTGTTGACTTTTGATGGGAAATTAACAAAACTGCCGACTGATTGGCCCCAACAAACTGAACGCRGACTACAGCGTCGTTRAAAGGAACAACACGCAGTTAAAACAAAACATAAAATCGAAAAATAAAAATCAAATCAGACCGAAAAGTGTAAAAAAGGAAGCGATTGAGAAGCAAAACGGCCGCCSTTGAAGCCTCGATAGCCATTGGACCGTAAGATTTGGTTAAAATGTTTGAAAAAACTATTATTGGCTCGCTGGCACACAAGGTGCTGAAAAGGGCTGGAGGGTACAACACATTGTATCCATACATAAATATATGTTTGTATGTAATGCATAGTCTTAGGGAATATGCTGTACACGCTGCCGCACTCACTTTTGCTTGCGCTTCCCGCTTTTGTTTTGGCTCTGCCGCCAATCCAACGGCCAGCCACCTCCATTGCCATCCGCCAGCGCCGCCTTCGCCGCCACTTATCTCGGTTTAATTAAACGGAATCTCATAATAAATTATCTTCATTAGTCGAAAATCCTAACCATTAAAGAATTCKTTTTCGTCTGCAGCGATCGTTCGCATTTTCTTGCGTCCACTTCGGCTTTGCTCGTTCTTTGGAGCTCGTTCGAACGTTGACTGCATTGGTATGTTGCATGTTCCTGTTCATTGGTTTTGTTTGTGTTTTTGTTTTGCTTGAAGATATTCGGTGTTTATTTGTGGATTTATTTTATTTTGAGCAAKCAGCTGCTTGCTTGATCGCCATTCTGGAAATAAATAAAAAGTTCGTGCAAAACTTTAGCTTTGCATTGTGATCGTTGGTTCGGAGATCTGATTTTGATGTTATCAATTGAGATTGCAGGGAAGCGGCAATTRTTGCTAATCTATGTCAAATGTCAAGGTTTTTAAGTCAGTGGCTTATATATGTATATATTTTTAAGATTGAAGATTTGAGATCTATTAGACAGTCAGATTGAAAATTGAGGCTTGCGCTGCGACTTATGGTCTATTGTGCACTCTGCCTGGTGGTCCCGCTTGAGGTGAAGTGATCCCTGTCCACGTATATGGAAACTAGAGGCTTGAGCCTGTTGCTACAAATTGCTGGGCTATGAAGAATCAGGTGTCCTSGTG